ATGTTATGTCGGTTTTCACAAACTCTGGCTTACGTTTACTTGAAAGCCAATTAGTTTTATGTTATGTTGGTTTTTATAAACTCCTGCAAAGATTTGAACTTGGAAACTCAAATTAGAAGTCCTTATATCAAGTGCTAAGTTGTCCCCATAGGCAACAAGCAAACTTGAAGGTAATTTTGCAATCGAGTGATCCAAATAAAGTCAAAAGCAAGATAAATTTTACTATAGTTTACCTGTTCATGGGTAATAAGAGACCGGGATGAAGGAGGACGGGAAAATCCGCTTAGGTGTGCTATCGCAGCAGCAAGAGCATTTGTCCCTTGTTCTTCAATTATCCTTTCAGCAGTTGGGGTAAAGAATTTTATAGACTCGGGATGAACTCCATTTAGAGTGGCGATAATTTGCTCAGCTGATGACTCTAAAATTCTTCATAGATGGAGGACTAATGAACTCGAACCTACATCCAACATCACGCTCGAGAGATTTGACAGTTCTCCTTTGGCTGTTAGTATACATTAAAATTGCAGAACCTTCCTTCCTGCACGTCCAGTTCGTCCAGAGCGATGCACAAAAGTCTCTGCATCATTGGGAAGCTCATAGTGGATAATCTGAAAAAATAGTAGTAAGTGACAGTTTTCTCAATATGTCATTTAGAAGCACAACCTACTCAAAATGTCATCTTTCAAGCTTAAGAAGCTAATTTTGCCAGTAGATTCAAAGGCAAAAAAACAAAAAGCGGGAAAAGCAACAATCAAATGGAGCCTAAAGTAGCAATGGCCCAAAAAGAATACTAGAGTTGCCAACATACCAAATCAACATTTGGGATATCAAGTCCACGAGCCGCAACATCAGTGGCGACAAGCACAGTAAATTTTCCTTGGCGAAATCCATTCAACGTTCTCTCCCTCTGATGTTGAGATATATCACCATGCAATGCCTCAGAAGCTATGCTACTTGTTAAAGCCATTGACACCTCATCAGCATCCCGTTTTGTTTGTGTAAAAACAATGGTTTTCCCTCCCTTCGCATAAACCTGAAGATAATGTAAAGACTCCGTTTTTTAGTTACATCAGCTCTAAAGAAATTTGAATGGTGTTAAAATATCGTAGCGCAACAACATTGTAAATATGTTAGAGACACAAATTGGTAAAACAAAATCCTCAAAGAAAAGTTTACAACACAAATTACAAGATAGGCACATACTAGATTCGATAAAGGCATGAACCAATAAGTTATACGAGGATACGGAATATTTGGAAGTTGGTTTTTAGAAAAATTTAAAATAAATAATCCCAGTAGGCAAACCAAGATACTCGTGGCATAATGCAAATGTAAAACCACCAAGGAATTAGCTAAAGAGGCTTTGAGGACAAAAGGGCCAAAATAAGAATAACAATTCAACATTCAAATTATTCCATCCTAAAGAATTTTTAAAGGAAAAGTAATGAATCAACGATTGATGCCACAAAAGTGACCCAACTGAGTAGATACTACTTACATAGGATAATATCAAAACATGTACATTGGAATAACCATCTCTATTATGTCTCCTAAAATAGAATCCATACTAAAGAAAAAATTAAACACAAATAGAAGTAATTCCAAAAAGAATGATGTAACAAATGGTATATGTCTTATATGTTAAAAATTCTATTTGGAAAATATAAAGAAATACTGAAAACAAGGAGACAAAGTAAGAGAAGATAAATTACTTACTGTTATGAGATCACTAAGAATGGTCCGCTTTGAAGTTGCAGTGGCTGATATTGCATAAAGTTTGATCCCTTCAGCAAGCTTTTCATCTTGATCTCCTACCTGTGAAAGGATGTTGAGTTTTGCAAACTTAATTAACTTTCTCAACAATGTATTACTTCTCCCGGCCCAAGAAAGGGGCCGGGAATGGGACAGAGAGTAATTTTCCCTATTGGCAATCAGAAATACAAAGTTCATCATCATCATCAATAAGGAAACAGAAGTAACATGTCAAAAAACAGCATGTATACACATATCCAATATTACATAGAGATGAAAGTACCAAGTCAATATTCAGAGGATTGTCCAAGTATTTTCTTGCCAACTTTTTAACCCAAGAAGGCATTGTTGCAGAGAAAAGCATGCTCTGCCTCTTTGATGGGAGACTTTCTAGAATTTCTTCGACATCCTCCTCAAACCCAACAGCAAGCATCTGATCAGCTTCATCAAGGACCAGATATTCAACTTCCCCCAATTTGAGGTCGTTACTTTCTATAAGATCAATGATTCGACCAGGAGTCCCAACCACTACATCAACCCCGCGGGAAAGAGCACTTCGCTGTATAGTATAAGAAACCCCTCCATAAACACAAACCGTGTTCAAATAAGATGCCGACTCTTTAATTTCTTTCTCCACTTGTTTCGCCAACTCCCGAGTAGGAGCCAGGACCAAAACTCTTGGAAGCCGACCAGACATCCTAAAAAGAGCGAAACGGAAATGAGAAAACATTAAGTACAGCAACGATATCGAAAATGAAGGACTGTGATATATGGTATGCTACCTCCTTGTACGTTCGGCATCATCTTCAGTAAGACGTTTAATTATGGGGATGCCAAAGGCTAATGTCTTGCCAGTTCCAGTCTTTGCACGAGCAATGATGTCTCGACCTTCAAGTGCCGGTACCAAGACAGCTCTCTGTATCAATGAATGTATATATAATATTAAGTACTTTGTGTATTAGCAAGATAAACAGTAATTGTTCGTGGTTATTACTCAAAACCAAAACAATGGAAGACCCAACATAAAGATTAGAAAGAATATAAGAATAAGCATAGCATGAGTACATTTTAAACGATAACTTTGTATTGCACAAGACAAGCATTGCTAGGAGTGTAAATAAACAGATCGTTGTACTAACTGTTAGTGAACGGTTCCTATAAGATTAGTTTATGTTCATTTATTAATAAACAAATATGAACAAAATTTGTATGTTCATTTAACAAACCAAAGTGTTCGTGTTTGTTTATGCTACTGTTGGCTGGTTTATCAACTCGTTTATGGTTCATTCATAGGCTACTCTATAAGCTTTGTTAGTTAAAACTAGGTTTATTTACACCCCTAAGCATTGCATATAAAAAATCTATCATCAAAATCATCAAAAACACGCAATGAATGGAAAAAATTAAAAGAAATTTGACCTGAATAGGGAAAAGGCGAGTGATGCCGCGTTTGAGAAGGGTATCGACCAGTCGTTGAGGCAAGCCCAGCTTGGAAAGGTCAAGTTCATCGTCGTTGATGGACGAAGACTCCGCCTCAGCCTCGGAGTCATAAACGTCGTCGTCTTGGTGAAGAGAGAGACCCTCGAAGGCTTGTTCGCTGAGAACAGAATTGGGAGTGGCGACAGCGCGAGGAACAAAAGAGTGGTTGAAGCAGCCAAGCAATGGGGTTCCACCAACTACGAGGCCGTTGAACTGAGACTTAAAAGCGAAGGGCAATGATAAGGAGCGGGAAGTTGGTGCTGTGGGTGTTATTTTCCTTCTATTGGCGGCCGAGGAGGTTACCTCCAGAGACGGGGCGGTGTGTATGGAGGCCATTTCACCTCTCAGTTAGAAGAAGAAGAAGATAGGGTAATGGGGCTGGAGATATTTTTGCAAGAAAAGGGAAGGGAGGTTGAAATATACAGTTTATATGAAGCGGCGTTGGGTGAGGGGGGATAAGGCCACACTGCTTTCCAAATGAATGGCTTCGCTGCCCTCCACCTCGCTCCTCTGCTTCTGCTTATATTATCTTTCGTAAATTATGTATCTAGTCTCCTCCCTATTCCCGTGGTTCCATTTTAGTCATCTAACTGTTAGTTTTTAAAATTATATTCAACATTATATTTTGATTCTATTTTAAGCATATATAGCTAAAAAATAAACATATTTACTGATGTGATAAATTTTTTTTAATAATGTCATAATATTACTTTAGGGTGATACGTCAACATCACCGTTAGTTTTTTTAACGAAAAATTACCAAAATCACGGGCAAACCTTCGTAGGGGCCAAGAGGATCTTTTACCCCGCCAATTTTTTTAAGTATTAACTAATATTGAAAATGATATATATATTTAAAAAATAAATAAATAAAATTATATTAGGCCCCCCTCAATTAAAAACTATATTTATGAAAAAATAGAAAATACTTTAACTCGCTTTAATAAATTCATTGTTATGTCCCTGAACAAAATAGAAACAAAATGTATTGATAGGTATGGTTTTGAAAGAAAAAAATATTTAGGTGAACAAAACAAACTACGAAAATAGGTGAATGATTAAATACATAGTTTATCCGATTAGTTTTTGTAAACTATATCGTTAGTCATCAAACTATGACATATTTTCTAATTTAGTCACTAAACTATTTTAAATTAATTGGTTTACATATATGCTAACCAATTAAATATGTTTAACTAGATATTATTTTCAATAAAATATTAATAATTTTCCAACTTAATGATTAAGCATGTGTAGTATCTCAACTATCATTTTTTGTTATGTTTTGATTATTTAACTTTTTTATTTTAAAATCATACTTAACGTTATGCTTTGGTTTCATTTTAGTCATCCATTGTTAAAAAATTAATAGTGATGTCGACATATCAACATAAAGTAATACTACATCATCGTTGAAAAAATTTTAAAAATGACATGTCGGCAATTTTATTAAATTTTAACTACGGGTGATCAAAATGAAATTAAAATGTAATATTGAGTAGGTTTTTAAAATAAAAATTATTGGTTAACCAAAATAGAACAAAAGTAATAATTAAAGTACTAAATGTTTAGTTTATCCTGAAAATAAAACTGAAAATTATATTTATTTATATTTATTTATAATTTGTAGGCAATCGACAAGGATGCTGGGCTGTTGGGCTAAATGGCAGTGTGGTTTCGGCCCTCTTCCCAAGAACAGCAATTAAGATAAGGATTAAAGCAAATTACGGTTATGGCATTTGTTCGGTTGTTTGTATTGCAAGGAAGAAGAAGAAGAAGAGAAAAACAATTAACAAACGTAATTCATCACTCCCCGTCTCCCATATATCATATGCTACTACTGTGCTGTTTGGGTTGATAGAAGATACTAGGGAAAATCATTCAGCCAGCCAGCCGTGTTAAGGAAAATTCGGAGGAGCCGCCGTGATTGGCTGCCGGTGAAGCATTGATAGCTGTTGAAGAACAAATTCCTTCATTTTCATGTTCCCAAAGAATCCCAGAAGCCCAGATCTGTCTGGGTTTTCATCGTTCTCAAAAATTTTCCATTCAATTTCGACTCGTACGTCCTTCAGCTGAAGGCTCTAATTTGCCAATTGATTTAGATTTAGCGTTATTGAATTCGATCACAGCGTTTCCTTTCCTGTTTAATGCTCTTCCCATGTACCGCTGCTAGCCCTAGGGAATATACGCAAGGGTTTTTTTGGTGAATAAAGAATCCTGGAATTGGGTATCGGAAATGGGTGATTCATTTCCTATTTACCTCGACATACTCGCCTTCTTCTGTACTGCCGGAGCCATTTGGTTGGCCGTTCTTCACATCTACAGGCATCTTTTGAATTACACCGAACCTGTTTTTCAGAGATACATCGTCCGCATCATTTTCATGGTCCCGGTCAGTTATTTTTTCGATGCTTTTTTTAATTATATTATGATTATGTATAGGGCTTTTTGTTTTCTCTTACTTGATTGATTTTCTTTCTGCCTAAGTCATTTTTCTTCTTGGTGCTTAAATTTCGCAGGTTTATGCGTTAATGTCTTTCTTGTCCCTTATTGTACCACAGAGTGCAATCTATTTCAATTCCTTCCGGGAAGGGTACGTTTGTCTGACTGTGGGTGTTTGAATTGATCATCAGTTTCTCGTTTGCACTTTGATTCCGAATTCCATGTTCCTTTAATCCATTATCCTATTCAAAAGCTTATGCTATGTATATGTGGATTGATATTTGATGGACTGATAGGGATGATGTATGGATATCACAATATGTTTCAGTGTTAACCTTTTTTTTTCAATGTTGGTGGTTCACTAACCATGTTTTGTGGCGTTTTTTTTGGGGGGGGGTGGGATGATTATGTTCTAACTCCAATTCTTTTTTAACTGTTTCAGCTATGAAGCTTGGGTCATTTATAATTTTCTTTCTCTCTGCTTGGCATGGGTTGGAGGTCCAGGAGCAGTTGTGCTCAGTTTGACTGGTCAAGTTTTAAAGCCATCTTGCTGTCTGATGACATGCTGCTTGCCTCCCATTCGCCTAGATGGGTGAGTATATGATGGAATACTACTGGCTTGAATTTTACATTGTCATGCGCATTCATGCATATGGAGCATAGTCATTTCTAGTATCAGTAACATCATTTACTATATTTTTCATAATGTGATTTTTGTTTTATAATATGATGTTAGACTATGTAATTTTCTAGTATGAAGATAAGATCAGATATTAAAGCTGTGCAATATAGATTTTCAATTCTTTAACCATTAGGCCATGTCTCTCTAGGTGTTTTCTCAAGCTCTCAACAATTGAAATGTTTGTGTAATGGAGTTCTTTTTACCTTCTAAGTAGTGCGACCAAGAGAGAGGTTAGCCATATAACATTGAGCTTGGCTTAATCTGAACTCAATTTTGTTTAACCATATTAGGTCCTGGATTTAGACATAGACCCATTGATATATTTTAGAATCATTCCAAAATCTTGTTCCACTCTGATCAAATTGAGTTATTTTTATCGAGAATAATGAGATATTCTCTCAAAATAATCATTCTTTTTACTAATATGGCATCTTTATGCAATTCATCTTATATCCGAAATAAACGTACATGAGTAATTGCGATTAGAATCAAAGTGAACACTTTTCATGTTACATCTTCAGTAATCTCAAGTTATAGGATCATATATATTATGTTTTTATTGTTCAATAAAATCCTAAGGCACTCTTTTCCTCCTTCCGCTGATTAAGGAGCTTCTCTACAAGCTCCATTAATCAAGAAGGGGGTTTTTAATGAAGCCTGAAATTCTTATCAAAAAAAAAAATAGGATCATATATAGATATAGATATATATATAATCAATAACTTTTTCAGTAGGCAGGTAATATAAATATAATCAAGAGACTTATAGATACTACGAGGCCCATTATTAGATATCGTTACAATATAAAAAGTGTATTTTAGATAAATCATTAGCCCTACATGACAAATTCCTCGTATTTAATATCACAATTAATTGGAAACTTAATTATAATTTTATTGTGACTTTCTTATACTTCAAACTATAAACTTGGCTTAAATTTGATTGTTTGCATCTGAAACTGCAATGTAGGCGATTTATACGGAGATGCAAGCAAGGCTGCCTGCAATTTGTCATCCTGAAACCAATTTTAGCTGCTGTTACCCTCATATTATACGCCAAAGGAAAATATGAAGATGGGAATTTCAGTCCAAACCAAGCATATCTATATCTTACTATCATCTATACAATCTCTTACACACTGGCTCTATATGCTTTGGTGTTGTTTTACATGGCATGCAAAGATCTTCTTAAGCCATTCAATCCAGTTCCGAAATTCATCATCATAAAATCTGTTGTCTTCTTAACCTACTGGCAGGTAAAATTTCCTGTGCCTGTTACTTGCATGCACAAAAAAGGAAAAAAAAAGAGAGTACAAATCCTTTGTTTTTGGGTTTTATATACTTTTATCTTTCCTTCTATTTTTATTGCATCATCCCTTTGTTGCTTTTTGGTGATAATCATTATTTAGAAATCTTATTAGCATCTTTATAGCAACTTTGGGGATGGCAACTTCTAGATACTGGAATGCAACCTTTCCTAACCCGTTTCCTGTCCAAATCAATGCTATCTTTATGTTTCATTTTTTAGGGGACGCTGACTTTCTATATTTTTCTTTCCCTTTTTACACTGTTGTAAAATCAAGAGCAATTTGAAGTTCTGGAAGTGCTGCATTCTTCTCTTTCTACGGGCAGATAGTACTTGCATTTTAGATAATCACACCTTATGCTGTGACGGCATTGTACAATAATATATTAAAATCCCATAAAACGGATGCCTGTACAGATGGTTATGTGTAATCTCTTTTACCGTGATGGCAGCATACCTTGTCTTAACCCATCTGGTTGCAAAGGTGCTAAAAGAAAATCAAAAGTCCAATCTTACATTCATTTTATTTCTTTTTGCAGGGTGTTCTGGTTTTCCTAGCTGCAAAATCTGGATTTATAAAGGATGCTGAACAAGCAGCTCAGTTTCAAAACTTCTTTATATGTTTTGAGATGCTTTTAGCTGCTGTAGGTCATCTTTATGCATTTCCATATAAAGAGTTTGCTGGTGCAAATATTGGTGCATCTCGTGGTTTTACAAGAAGCCTGGGACACGCCTTAATGTTGAATGACTTCTATCATGATACTGTTCACCAGGTGAGCCTTCTCCGTGCCATTTACCATAGGCTCCTATTTTATGTGTGTTGATATTTGTTTATCGGATTGACAGTTTGCACCAACGTATCATGATTATGTGCTGTACAACCATAATGACAGCGATGAAGGAACAAGGAAATACCGATCAAGGACTTTTGTGCCAACAGGACCTGAGATGGATGCTGTTAGAAGAAACAAACTAGATGATATTCAGCTATCCAGTCTCCCAGTGCATGGTACAGGCACTCCCCAAAACCCCAACTCTGTACCTGCTTCTGGAAGTGCTGATGTTACAAAATCATCACTGCTTATGGACCACTCAAATTCTTATTCAATGCCATATGATATGTCACTTATGGACATGGATCTAACCAGTTACCCTTCGCATGTTCCTGCAGCAAAAGATACCAATCAGGTGACAAGTGTGTAGTAGCATCCTTATGCTAGAAGTAGAAGAAGGCTGAATCCTTGGGGACTTGGGGGGGGGGGGGGCAGTGGAGAGCATCTGACATAACAATGACCACGGACAGCCTTATCAAGGTGTGTGTCGTTGTCCCCGGCTCCGGATATTTTCTCTATTTCCACTCTATTGATTTAGGTCCCTGTAAATGTTATAGTCACCCTTCTTAGATGTCATACTGGAACTAGGTGGCCTAGTGGAAGGTCTGCCGGCTGACCGATATTTGATTTTGTTGGTGTGTGGTCTGTAGATGGAGTGGCACTTAAGGTCATATTTGAAGGATTATTGTTAAAGAATTTAATAAAATAATTTAGAAAAATATTAGATATAAACATTATTTTTAACGATAAATGATAAATATCAACATTAATATAAACATTATTTGTTTTTAATAAACCAATTTAGAAAGGAAAAAAAAGAAATTGATTCTATCATTAAAAATAAAATTATTTAAACTGATTAGAAAATAAAATTATTTAGCATAATTGTTTTGATCAATAGAATTTAAATTCGAGACTTTAATTAGATATGATCAAACTCCTTAAGACTTAAACTAATAAATATCATATATATATATATATATATATATATGATAAATTTGAGGTGAATACAAGATAATATTTGTTCATAGATTTCTAGTTATTTAATAATGAAAACTTAACCAACAACCAGTTAATCTAGTTGGATGAGACACTATGTCTCTTAAGTAAGGTTAGAGGTCCGACTTCTGGCATTTGCAAATGGAGTAAACTGAGTTGGGAGGGTCACCCTCGCCACTGCAGTACCCGAACTAGATTAGTCGGTCAATAGATCGGATATCAATGATTAATTCAAAAAAATAATAAATACTTATATTTATATTATGCTATGCTCGAACCCAAAATCTTAAATATCAATTAATTTTAATAAAAACATATCCAATCTAATTTGAATATTGATTACAATAATGGGGGAATAACAACTACGCAAGACCTTTGGATAGATCGCAGAACAGATCTTTGACTTGTGGTTCGTCATTAAGTGGGTAATTAGAGACTAAAGTGCAATGTGTTAATTATGATATTAAGCAAAAGCAAAGATGATAGATAGAGCCACGTATACACATTCCCTTTCCTCACAAATGATTGGAATCTAAACCTAACATGGCCAGCAATCATTGCACATGCACGCCTCCCCTATACGCTGGCCATGTGTGCAAAACCAGTTAAAATTACATATATGGGTAAACAACATCAATGGTCCATTTAATTTTAGATCTGTTCGATTTTGGTCACCCATTTTAAAAATGATACAATTTAGTCATTTATGTTATCGGTATGTCTTATTTTCATCATGGACTCGTTAACTCAATGGCACATGGACCTCACAAAAAACTGAACCCTCCTAATCCTAAAAAATTATCTCCTCTTACCCTAAACCTCCACCTTGCTACTACTCTCACCGCCTTCTGCCATCGCACGTTCCTTGTCCAAAACCTTGCACCCTTAAACCATTGCCCTTCGTAGATGACACTCGTCCTTACGACCACAAGTGGAATTTCATTGATTTGTAACGGGTGCAAGGGGTGTGTGTTTACAAGGAAGGGCATGCGAGATGACATATGATCGATTGGGGGATTTGGGTGTTCGATTAAGAAACGCTAGAGTGCCTATGGTTGTCAAGGCTCAGGTGAGGGCCTAGGGTTCCTAGGGTTTAAGATGTGAGGGCATAGGGCTCCAGAAGCGAGAGCACTGAGCGTTGTTCGAAGGGGTTTCAGTCGAGTCGGATAGTAGAGAGAAATAAGGGACAATGCATTAGTGGGGGTTAATTACCACTAGGGCATCTTGTAAGGTTGATTTTCGTGAAGTGGTGGTTCGAACGAGAAAGAACATTGAGAGATTAAATTATAAATTAACTTTTTTACTAAGTGTCAAGTCATCAAACTAGCATGAGTTAACGGTCTAGTGATTAAAATATAATTAACCGATAATGTAAGTGACTAAAACATTACTTTTTTAAAATCAGTGGCAAAATATGTTAAGCCGAAAACAAAAGAGGTAATCGGTGTAGTTAATCACATATATATTATAACTTGAATGCATGCATTAAGTTGAAATGCTACGAATATTAAAAGCAACCAAAATTTATTCTCTATGTATGCATTTGACACAAGCAAACAAGTCTATGTAATATATATGCATGTGTGTGTGTGTGTATATATATATATATATATATGATTGATTCATCAACTTTGACCACATACGTCATTGAGGGAACTAAGCTCTCTGTCGTGTGTTCTCTTGGTTTTCAGTGCCCTTGTTCGTTTCTGTTCATTTCAATGGCGGTGAAGATCCATTTCGAAGGCCTTTTACGGGGGCACCAGCGGCAATGTCGTCGCTACAAGAAGCTGTCGACGATAGATGACGAGAGCGACAAGGGAGCGAGGCGGGGGCGGCCGAGGAGGCGGTGGCTGAAGAAAATGAGCGGTGGCATACGGTTGTCGCGTTCCATAAAGCTAAGGTTACTGAGTTTGAAGACTTTTTCCATTGCGAAGGTGAATGGTTTATTGTTGTTAAGTCCCATCGCCATGAACGTCGTCTTCTCCGCTCACGGCTGGGGGCTTCCCACTTTATCTCATCCCTCGCTTCACCGACGACCTCCTCAGTTCTAGTTCTAGTTCTAGTTCCACTTGCACGTTTTTGTTTTCCAGAGATTTGTTGTTTTATTATATTTATTGCACGAACGATAATTAAAAGATAAATATTATTTTTCAAGTTTTTTAATTCGAATACAATATTTATAAAAGGTTTGAAAATTTATTATCAAATGATTTACCGTCTTTCGATCAAGGAAGTATATATATGAACTCAATTCCACTCCTTTTCAATTTTTATATATGAACATTTTATTTTAATCCATTGTTAGTTCACCGATTAAGAAAATGAAATGATATTATAATTTAAGGATCGATATAAAATATTTTAAAATTTAAAGAATAATTTAAAATATAATTATAATTTGATATTGATATAATTACATAAAGCGTGTTAATATCTATGAATTAAATTGGAATATAATCGTAATTTAATAATATCATATATAATTATGTCTTTGATTTATTTATATGTAATTATTCCTCTTATGATATGACTCATACTATGGATTATCAGAATTTGAGCCATAATATTTACTGTTAACCTATAATAATTTTTTGCACGAACTAAGCCACTTCGACAATAAAATAATCGTTATTATTTCTTGAGGTTTTAGATTCGAGCACCATGAATGTCAGGGGTACGAGCGTTCAATATCAAATGGTTGAAAATTATCTTTGAACATATATTGTCTCTTTTCAAAATTATAATGGACCTAAAATTTTAGAGTGAGCAACATCAGTAAAATGAACAACTAACATTGCATTGGTCACTGATAATATCATGAACATTTTTTGTCCAACTATTAGTATATAATTTATTCGTCGATTTATCCGGATCAGTTACCGTAAACACTTATTATAGGACTAACTTTCTCAACCTAGTTTATAGTGCAAGTGCTTGTTTAATACATATTTTCTTCAACCATCAGTATCTAATTTATTAACTAATTAATCCGAACAAAGTCTATTTTAAACACGACTTTCCTAACCTAATTTACGGTCCATATTTCTGTATACAGATGGAATATGGGATTTTATACAAAAACAGACGAAATCAAGAGAATGATAGAAAGCTTTGTCGAAGAACACTGATGCATTCAATGAAATACCCTAACTATAATTAAATAAAAAAAGCAAAAAAAAATTAAGAGATTTGTTGTTTTATTATATTTATTGCACGAACGATAATTAAAAGATAAATATTATTTTTCAAGTTTTTAAAATACAAAATAAAGTATTTGAAAATTTATTATCAAATGATTTACCGTCTTTCGATCAAGGAAGTATATATATGAACTCAATTCCACTCCTTTTCAATTTTTATATATGAACATTTTATTTTAATCCATTGTTAGTTCACCGATTAAGAAAATGAAATGATATTATAATTTAAGCATCGATATAAAATATTTTAAAATTTAAAGAATAATTTAAAATATAATTATAATTTGATATTGATATAATTACATAAAGCGTGTTAATATCTATGAATTAAATTGGAATATAATCGTAATTTAATAATATCATATATAATTATGTCTTTGATTTATTTATATGTAATTATTCCTCTTATGATATGATTCATACTATGGATTATCAGAATTTGAGCCATAATCATTACTCTTAACCTATAATAATTTTTTTGCACGAAATAAGTCACATCGATAGTAAAAGAATCGTTATTATTTCTTGAAGTTTTATATTCGAGCACCATGAACGTTAGAGATACGAGCGTTCAATATCAAATTGTTAAAAGTTATATTTGAACAAATATTATCCCTGTCCAAAATCATAATGGACCTAAAATTTTAGAGTGAACATCTTCAATAAAATGAACAACTAACATTGCATTGACCACTGATAATATCACGAACTCTTATTTGTCTAACTATCAGTATCTAATTTATTGATCGATTTATCCGGATCAGATACAGTAAAAACTTATTATAGGACTAACTTTCTCAGCCTAGTTTATAGTGCAAGCCCTTGTTTAATACATATTTTCAAATCAACCATCGGTATCTAATTTATTAACTAATTAATCATAACAAAGTCTATTATAAAACGACTTTCCTAACCTAATTTACGGTCCATATTTCTATATACATATGGAATATGGGATTTTATACAAAAACAGACGAAATTAAGAGAATGATAGAAAGCTTTGTCGAAGAACACTGATGCATTCAATGAAATACCCTAACTATAATTAAATTAAAAAAAACAAAAATTAATCCAAAACTTCAACAAATTTAGACAAAACAAACCAAATTTGACGATGAATCCAATGTGGTTAACGTTACAGTCAATGTGTTTGGTCTGTGATAGCATTTCTGGTGTTATATATATATATATATATATATACACATATGTATGTATAGGCTTTTGTATTTTGAGCCACTCTCTTCTTATCAGGCATCAGCCACTGCTTGCCATTTTTGGGTCATCACTCATGATGGTAATTACTTCTATCTCTTTTTAATTTGTTGTTTCTCGTACTATATTTAGGGTTTGTTTGTTTCTCGTACTATATTTAGGGTTTGTTTGTTTCGTTGTATCTAATTTTTCGAAATATATATTTTCTTTTTCTTTCGATGTTTAGTTTAAGTAAAAGAGTTGGCCAGTCTAAGGAGATTTCCACATTAGCAAACCATGTTTAGGGTTTTAAGTGTGTAATTAGGCATATACTCGTTAATAATCACACGTTTGTCGTTGGTTATTGATCTAACAGGATGAAGTGTTAAGTGTCTTAAATTATATCTAGAACTCGAATTATAGTATTGCAAAATGAACAAGTTGGATTGAAATGGTCACCCAATATCAGGTCTTTACAATATTCGAATAAGAATTAGTCACAACGAGGGATCTTGAAACAAATTTTAGGGGGGACAATTATAAAATTTTCAAAAAAAATTAGTATCGTCATGATAAATTTCTAAAATTTTGAGGGGCGTTATATTTAAGGTAAAATTTTAAATTTATGAAGATCATATAATCAAATTCAAAATTTTTGATACAAGAAAATTTCAAGAGACCGTAAAAGAAAATTTTTAGATTTTCCGGAAGATCCGCCGTTAATTAGTCAATCAAAGAATCGAATAATGATTAGTTGGTACCAAAAATAATAGGAGTTGTTATTTGATACACATGTTTTGTGGAATTTATTTTATACAACATGTCTAATTTAATCATAAATAATAAAATTTAAAACTTTAAAATGTAAATCATATCATTAAACCCTAAAACCTAAAATTATAAACCTTAATCCTGAATTATAAACCCTAAATGCTACACCTGAATTATATATGCATGCATGCACGTACGTATAGACTGAGCTTTTCGGAACAGTAACAGTTTCCATTACATGCAGGGGCTCCCGGGGATGACCAAAGTTGATGAGAAGAACAAAGGTGGATTCAAAGCTTCCATGTTCCTTTTTGGTAATTAACCCAACCCCTATTTTTTCGTTTTAAAAGTAAAATATCTCTTTAAGTCCCTCCTAATTTAAATATTCGACAAATTAATCAACTTTTGTAATGTTTTTTCTTCTTCTTGGCAGTGCTCATGTCATTAGAAAACATGGGTTTTGTTGCAAACATGGTGAGCATGGTGCTTTACTTCCTTTATGTCATGTTCTTCAACGTCCCCACCTCTGCAAACACACTTACAAACTTCATGGGCTCAACCTTCTTGCTCTCCCTCGTCGGCGGCTTCATTTCCGACACGTTCATTAACAGATATACCACCTGTCTGATTTTCGGATTCTTAGAAGTGCTGGTGAGAAACTAATTCGAACTAGGATTAAATATTTGGAGTCAAATTGTTTAACATCGAAGTTAACAAGGACCTAACAAGTATTTACACCTGAAAATTAGGGAATAATGCTTAATTTGAACCCTACCTCTCTGGACTCTGCATTATTAGGGTGAGCTTTCGATCAATTCGAGTCAAAAAATTTTGAGTTAGTCGAGTCGACGAATCTTATTTCATAACTCAGATTTTATTTAAAATGTGTGCGAGTCGAGTCAAGTTTATAAAATTCGAGTTGAGTTGTTTGAATTTCTATTTAAATTTAACTGTAAATACTTGCAATGTTATGATACTATATGATTTCAATTTAAACAATTTTCTATATCCATATATGCTATTTTCATATGCAATATACATATATCATACGCAGTTGAGGGACTCAACTCGAACTTGAAAGCTAATCAACTAATTATTAAAAATGTTGAATTATTCGAGTTATATTATATAATTCAACTCGATTTGAAATTTTTTCGAAACAGTTGAACTCATGAAATTACAAGTCAAGTTGAGTTTCTAGCGTCGAGTTAAAAATTTTAATTTTTTTCGAATCGAATTTTGTTCGTCCCATGCACTACTATAATAGCAATCAGTTTAACTGAAACAAGGTTTTTCAACTTGCAGGGATTGGCATTGATTACAATTCAGGCTTATTTTAAGGACTTGCAGCCCGCCTACTGTTTCGGCAAGCCGAGCTGCATACACGGCGGCAAGGCGGCGATGTTCTACACTTCGTTGGGATTGTTAGCATTGGGGTCTGGTGGGGTTAAGGGAGCTCTTCCGGCACTCGGTGGTGACCAATTTGATCATAAAGACCCCAAGGAAGCAAAAGCTCTAGCAAGGTTTTTCAACTGGCTGTTGCTCAGTACTACACTCGGTGCCGCCGTCGGAGTGACGGGCATTGTGTATTTGACTACCGAAAGGAACAAGTGGTATTGGGGTTTCTTCATATCGACGGTTGCTACCTTTATCGGTTTCTGTGTTCTTGCATCGGGAAAGCCTTTCTACCGCCTACGAGAACCGACGGTTGCTAATAGCCCCATCATAAGGATAGCTCAGGTTCAGTATTTATCTCAGCATTTCATATCTCAGGCATATCTACAAATATAAGCTGCGTTGACAAACACTTCTTTGTGTGCTGTGATCGACCATTCATAGGTCATAGCAGTAGCCTTCAAAAACAGATGGCTAGCTCTGCCGGATAAACCGGATGAATTGTACGAGACCGATGAAGACGAAACCGGTTGCAGGGAGGAAAGAATCTCCCACACCAACCAATTCAGGTGAATCATGCATGTGATACTATTTTATGATGTCTAAACATGCTACGAAATTTTCTGAAACTAATTGTGATTCTTGGTCAGATTCCTAGATAAAGCAGCAATTGTTCCGATCATGTCGGAAGCGACGCCATCACCGTGGACAGTGTGCACGGTGACTCAAGTTGAAGAAGTTAAGATTCTAACCAGAATGCTGCCCATTTTAGGCAGTACCATCATAATGAACACATGTCTGGCACAGCTGCAGACATTCTCGATTCAGCAAGGTAACATCATGGATCGCCATCTCGGAAAACTCGACGTTCCCGCCGCATCGATCCCGATAATCCCACTGGTCTTCATGTCCATTCTGATTCCTACCTATGAGTTATTCTTTGTCCCTTTTGCTCGAAAAATCACACATCATCCATCGGGCATCACCCAACTCCAACGTGTCGGTGTGGGGCTTGTTCTGTCAGCAATTTCAATGGCTGTTGCCGGTATCGTTGAGGTTAAAAGAAGGGATCAAGCTCATAAGGACATGTTAAAGCCCATAAGTCTCTTCTGGCTCTCCTTTCAGTATGGAATTTTCGGAATTGCAGACATGTTCACTCTTGTGGGACTGCTGGAATTTTTCTACAAGGAAGCACCTATCGGCATGAGATCACTCTCGACATCGTTTACCTGGTTATCTCTATCTTTCGGCTACTTCTTGAGTACAGTGTTCGTAGACATAATAAACTCCATCACCAAAAGAATCAGCCCAAGCGGACAAGGTTGGATTCGTGGATTAGACTTAAACCAGAGCAACTTAAATCTCTTTTACTGGTTTTTAGCTATCCTTAGCTGCTTAAACTTTGTACATTATTTGTACTGGGCCTCATGGTACAAATACAAGACAGACGAACCTGATCATGCTGAAGCCGAAGCTAAGGATTTGCGTACCGGACCACTCGTCGCAGAGGAAGAGAACACCCTGGATGGAGGAGTAACACAAACACATGAAGCTCCTGTTCAAACAGATGAATCTAAGCAACAACTTATAAAAGAATCTGATCATCCTGAAGCTGTAGCTAAGGATTTGAGTACCAGACTGCTTCCTGAGGAGGAAAAAACACCTTGGATGGAGGAGTAACACAAACACAGGAAGCTCCTGCTTCTGTTCAAACAGAGGAATCTAAGCAACAGCTTACAAGTTGTTGATGAGGGACATAAACACACACACATGTTTCTGTGTGCATGTGACAGAAAATAATAACCATTTCATCAATTCGAAGAATCAATAAACCAGAGCCAGAGGTTGGCCTAAACAAACACTCGGATACATACTATTGAGGTATTTATCTCTTAGACAGACCAGCATCATTAGCATGGATGATGGACCTTAATAAATGAATTTACAAATGCAAGCAAAGATTTCAAAACTCCTCGGCATGTCTAAATCTGTGCAAAATACAACTGTATTTCCCCGAAATTAGTATTCAGTTGACCATCATCATCATAGAGGTCAAATCCAGTCCCCCTCTCACACACACACACACACACAAAAAAAAAAGCTTCAGTCTCCATATGAAGCAAAATGGATTCCTATCCTCAGGTCGAAAAGCTAACAATTCTAACCTACACTTTGATAAAACACGATTCTTATATACAATCAAAAGTACTATGACCTATCAGGTAACTTCTCATCTCCATCGGTTGATCTAAAAGGAACACTACCGGCGATTTCCGAGGCTTGACTATTCTTGTGCACTTCAGCTGGCTGTTCGAAGCTTTCATTTGTTGTTCGGCACTGGCATCGCAAAAAATAACAAATTTGATTAAATTGAGGCAGACAAGATGCAAATCCATAAAAAGAATTGCAAAATGTTCAGATGAGTGACAAATTAATAGAATCGGACTCCCTTTTTCTGCCATCCATATGTGTCATATAGAATATAGCAAAAGGTAAACAATAAATGTGTGTTTTTGCATGTTTGTATGTATATATTTCAACTCCTGCTTTATAAGAACTAAGAAGTATTTAGCTTTTTCATTGATGAAAAGGAAAATGATTTCTTTAATCTAACCTAACAAGAAAATTTGGTCAGGTTTTTTATTTAGTCATCGAAAATATGCTGCTATACCATGTGCAATAGCTTCGTCTTTTGCCTCGATAAAAAACCTGAAGGCAAACTTCTCCTGATGGCAACAAAACCCCGCCTTAGCGAATACTAGAAATTCTTTTTTTTTCATTGACTTGAACAGGAACAAGAAAATTTTCCTAACCTGAGTAGATGTCTGATTCACGGAGCTATTGATGTTAGTGTTCTCTGTCACTTGTGAGTTGATATTCTGAGTTGGAATAGGAATCAAAGGTGCACCTGGCATCGACATCGGAAGTCCTTGACCATGAACCCCATATGGCTGGAGGTTAGATCCTGTCATCTCATGGCGTGTAGTGGTGCTGGACGGATGTGGGCCAGGGTAGAGGTCAGAAAAAGGTGCTCCAGGGGTTGGAGACGCATGAACCATAGGGCAAGCAGAAGCTGCAGTATTCGTTTGAGGAAATGGCATCCCGAAACCCATACCTACACCCATTCCAACACTCATGGATGAAAAATGTGCCATATGAGCTGCAAGCATGTGTTGCATTCCAGTTGGAAACATCATTGGTGGCATATACAAGCCAGCCCGCATAGACATAATCTGCGTAAGATCGGTAGTTGATCAAATAAACTTATTCCAATTACCCTTCAAAGAATCAACACTCAAATATATACTAAAAGGAAGAGTAACAGTTATGATTTGGAAGAAAAAAGACAGAGATCTTACCTGCACCCGTAGTTGGAGTGTTTTAAGATACTCAATTGCTTCATCAAGCATCGAAGCTTTGTCCACCTTGTAATGCCAAAATGCAAAAAGTCAACAGCTTTAAAATACAAAAGCTATCAATTCTTTGTTGGTATGTTCTTGGTTCAATCACAAATCCATTCAAGTGTTTAACCATGTCTGATGAATTTAACTATGATTGCAGTCGAAGGTAAGAAGCATGAATAAGCTATATGTTTTAAATTACGAATACAATAAGCAAGGATACGCCTAAGCTCAATGATCTATTTCCAGAATTGCATCTGTTTCCAAGAAAACTCTTTTGATTTAGTTAAAAAATTCAAAAAAGAAAAAGTAATATGAATTACCAACCTTGTTGCAGTTTGGTATGAGCTCCTGTAAGGCATGCATCTTCTCATTTATCCTATCCCTTCGCTTCTGTTTGTGAAAGTCAAGATCTTACAATTCAGACAGCCATATGAAGGACAAATTTTTGGAATTATCGAACTAATCGAATGCACTTCCTCACCCTTTCAGATAAATTATGCACTTCTGCTGCTCGACTTCTCTTAGACCCCTTACCACCTTGAGCAGGAATTGCTTTTTTCACACACACAGATTCTTCTTCAGCATCCTACACATGTAAGTTTTACTTGGTTTTATCAGAAAAGGAAAAAAAATTAGTTCAAAGCACAGCAACACGAAAAAAATTATATTCTATAACTTACTTCACTAGGACATTCAAACTCATCATCGTCACGATTTTTTCTCTTCAAATTGTGTAATAATGGATCATCAGATGCTCTTTCAACACTATTTCCACGGCAAACAGAGGAAGCAGCATGCACAGACTCTACAGCCTTATCACTATGTGGCAGGTGTTTAGAAGCATTTTCACCAATACTTTATCAGAAATTTCGTCACCTGGTTATGTAGAGACTTAGCTTTAGATTCTTTTATATCAGTCTTCATTGGCACCATTGTAGAATGGCAATGGAAATTTCTTCCTTCTGTAGCTCAATATTCGAATCAATGAACGTGGAATCAACTCGGTCGCTAACACCGTCGCCAATCCCCTTTTCCTTACTTCCATTCTTCTCAATCCTAGCCATAGCACCTATGCTCTTAAGACTAGTTTTTACAAGAGCAGCAGGACGTGAGAAATGGGAAAAATTCATCAAGACAGTATTACTACAAGGTGCGACAGGATCTTGTTTCTGCACCTTATGCCAGGCAAAGATCATCTGATGGTTGAGCTCCCATTGAATCTCTGCAAATGGCACGGTTGGTGAAGGTATGGCTTAGGTTATTACCAATACTCTCCGAATTTCTTGATCTAAAATATGGAGAAGTCACTTGGCGTGGCTGTGACGGCTGGCTGGTACCACATCTAGGCCTAGCTTCATCACCGGCGGGTTTAGGAACCTTCGACGGCTTTCCTTGTTCGAAATCCAATGCATCATTTGGAGAAACAGTAAACGAATCTCTGACGGATTGGCGTCTTCTATCAAATGATGCTAAGTTACTATTAGTTGGAATCGCATTTGAAGCGAGCCCTGATAGTTCAGCCAATAAACCAGAACATTCATCATGTAAAGATTGAACCTCAGGGTACTTCAGCCAAGGCACCACTTCATCATCGGCACCATGAGTCGGCACCGACATCGGAACATCACTCAATACAGAGTCCACCACCCCAAATTTTCCCATTCTTGTAAAACTCCCTCCATTTCCTATATCTTTATCACTGCAAGGAATCATCTTTCTAGCTCTACTAGACTGACCCTGCATTGAAACTTGACCACTTTCCCATACCAATTCAACAATGTCATTCTCAGCTCTGCACTCAACAACAACACATACGTGATCGAACAACATGTAACAAATGAAATCCAATGTTTAAAACACATAAGATGAACCATATATTAAATCTGAAACTTACACAGAAGACAAATCAGTGGAGCTTGAAGGGTTCTTGTCTTGAGATGAATCAAGTTTCCCCCTAGCCATCCGATATAGCTCATACAAAGGCATGATGAAAAGTTGGAAAAAAAAAACCTATTTTCTTAGGAAAAAACCCAGATTCAAGCAGTTAGCCTTAGCCATTGCCACTGCTTCTTATCATTAGTTTCAACTCCTTGGTTCAAAGAACCCAAAAGGAAACATACATGATTGAAACTAATCAAGGATTCAAGACAAATTAGCCTGACCCAGAAATCCACTACAAAAATAAATTTGAAAGAGAGAAAGAGAGAGAGAATCAAATCTTTGAGGAAAGCACAACCCTTAAAAGCTCGAACAAAGAGAAACCCAGAAGCTGTCAAAAGATGTTTTACTGGTGCATCAAATCATGGTTGTCGCTACAGTGTTAGTACCAAGTTTACGAGTAGGTGGCATGTACTCATAGACCATAGTACTAAATTACGATGGCTGTGTGTGGTCGAGGATGTTACGATTTGATTTAGTTCTTAATATTGATTATATTTATATTAAAGATATTATTTGCGGTGTCATGATAACTTTAAAAACGTTGTAATATAATTTTTATATTATATTAAAAATTATATTACGATATCATGAATTTGAGTTCGAGTCGAATCCATTCAATTCAATAATTAACCAACCTTTAATCAAACTGATCTTAAATAATTCACGATCTATCTGTCCCATTTACTATAATCAAATTTGATTGAACTCTGTTTTTTATCATTTCACCATAAAATTGATCGAGTAATTTAAGTTTTTTACAATATACTTAATTGAGTTATAATAATATATAGATGAAGAAATGTATATATATATATATATATTTTATTAATTTATATAGGACAATGTATATAAAATTATTAATGTTATCCTATCCCTTCGTTGGTATCCACGCTGTTATTATATATTATCCAATGAAATTGGGTGCTTGTGCCCCTTTAATATTAAATATATTTAAATCTAGTCTAGACCATTACAATATGTTGGGGGATGATTGTTTAATTTTCTTTTTTCTGCCTCATTAATTAATATAATAAAAATATATTTTTTAATATATAATATATTAATAGATTTATTCGATTTAAATATTATAAAGAAAGATTAAATAGAGGAAATAAATTCAGTTTACTATATTCGCAATGGTAAAATATGTTATTTAAAAATATATTATATTATCTTATTAAATTAACGGATAATTAATAAAATGAATAAGAATAATTAAGTACTTATTTTACACACATTTTTATTTATATAATATACTATTTTTGAAAAATTATTTATATTACATTGATAAATGTTTCCCCTAATATTTTACTCACAATTTATATTAAAAGGCTC